TTGGTGACAGATTCAAATAATAATAATAATGCTGGTGGTGACAAATATTTTTTACCCTTTGTTGCAGTCTATAAAAAATTATTTAAAGTATGATCACTGAAGCAATTTAAATAAAGATTTTTATATGTATTTATACAATTGTTTTTTTACTGCATTTTGACCAATCTTGTATTTGTATCAAGTTTAGTCATTAATAAAACAACTTTTAACCGAATATCCTATTTCAATCAAATTTTATGTACAAATGATACTTCCCAATGTTCTATACTTTCAATATTTGTACCTGTATCCTTTTATTTTTACTGAACTAAATCCTAATATCCAAACACTAGTTCATGAAACGTACCTTAAAAGTAATCCTAGTTTATATTAAAAGCAAAATTACCAATAGAATTAGGAGGATGATAACGGAAAAACGGAGAAACTATTTTAGAAAAAGTGTTGATATACGTAATTTCGATGTGATTGATGCTTTATTATCATTAGTATAAGTTATAAATATGTACTAAAATATGATCGTATGCAGCTGCTCACCTGAAGAAAGTATACTATACTTCCGACAAGAACACCAACGGAAGGTAGAGGGTCATCGTTATCGAAGACAAGCCGGCAAGGCTAGCCAATGATTGAATGTAAGTTAAGTTAGGGTACTTCATGTACCTGGTGAAAATCAGCGGTCCTGTCACAATTAACTTGAAATTTCTTACAATCGGGCTCACTTACGATAACAAAACAAGTTACCAAGATAGCAAGAAAAAAAACGCGCGTTTCTAACGTAACGATTGAGGTTAGTAGGGTCAGCTCCAAACTTTTGCAAGGCTGATAAGGATGGTTTTTTGAAATCACATTAGAAAAGCATTAAAAAAAGCTACACTTTATTGTAAGTAATATCACCACGCAGCACAATATTCAAATCTCCAAGAATCACTGTTGAAGTTAAGCAATAAAGTTTGATAGTTCACTTTAAGTAAATCGGAGGTTAGGTTCGGAGGTTTGGTAAACTAACTCACGGTTACGGGCTGCAAAATGACTGCGATGACTTCGCTGGAATCACATCAATCACTTAAAAACGCGTTTTTATGAGCGTGATTTTCTTTTTCAAAGAATGGATGAAAAGGCGCGATTACGCGTGTTTTGTACATTGCAGAATGTAGAAAAAGTACTGAGCAGTTGCAACTCTCCAGTACCATTTAATCTTAATTGTTAATTTTTTACGTAGTGTCGTCGATGTAGAAAACTTCACAAATGAACCGTGCTTGTCTTACGTGACTCTATTCTTATTCTAAAATCGGCACTTCTTTGAAATTTACCGAATTTCAGAACCAAGTATATGGGACGGACAGTTGGTCCGGAACTGATAAAATCGAACAAGTCTAATAAAAACGAAAGAATTGATTTTTCAAAATTTCAGTTGTTCAGCTCGGAGATAAAGCGAATTTAAAAGATTAGTAATATTTTTATATAAAATTCCTATTCCAAAGAATAGCCACAACTTTTTTCAGGCTTTGAGTAGCACGATATGCTAATCCGAAGGGTATTGCACTGTTTGAAACCGATTGAACAACGATAAAACACGCAAGAATCCGATAATAAAAAAAAATATTTTTTTATATATATGATCACAANATAGGTATTGCTCTGTTTGGAACCGATTGAACAACGATAAAACACGCAAGAATCCGATAATAAAAAAAAATATTTTTTTATATATATGATCACAAAATATACTCCTTTTACGGATATCTGCATTATTTTTAGAGATACAGCGATTTTAAGTTTTCAGTAATATTTTTTTTTTAAATTCTCACTCATGATCACAAAATATACTCCTTTTACGGATATCTGCATTATTTTTAGAGATACAGCGATTTTAAGTTTTCAGTAATATTTTTTTTTTTACATCTCGTTCCAAAACCAAACCACGACTTTTATTGGGCTCTAAGAGTTGCAATACGCTTATCCGAATGGTATTGCAGTGTTTAAAACCAATTTTCCAACGATGAAAATCCCAAAAGTCCGACAAAATAAAAAATAAAAATTTTTTTGTCTAATAATCACAAATTATACTCCTTTTTCAGATATCTGCATTATTTACAGAGATACAGTGGTTTTAAGTTTTCAGTAATATTCTTCGAAAAAATTCTTACTCTAGAGCATGGCCACTATTTTTTCGAGCTCTAAGCAGTACAATACGCTAATTTAATAGGTATTGCACTGTTTGGAACAGATTAAACAACGATAAAACTCGCAAGAATCCGAAAATAAAAAATTTTTTTTTTTTTCGTTTATGATTACAATTTATACTCCTTTTTTGGATATTTGCATTATTTCTAGAGATACAGCGGTTTTAAGTTTTTAGTAATATTTTTCCAAAAAATTCTCACTCTAGGGCATGGCCACCATTTTTGTCGGGCTCTAAGAGTTACAATAGCTTCTCCGAATGGTATTTCATTGTTCAAAACCAATTTACCAACAATAAAAATCCAAAAAGTCTAACAAAAAAAAAAAAAAAAATTTTCGTCTCATAATCGCAAACTATACTCCTTTTTTGGATATCTGCATTATTTCCAGAGATACAGCGGTTTTAAGTTT